CAGTTTCGACGCTTGGATTCAACAGGCTTCTTTAAGGTATATAGACCTTCTATACGGCTCCTATAACGGTAACTACCCACCTGAAAATGTCCTACGATTAGATCTGAATGCTGCGTTGACCTCCTGTCGACAGGTGTTAGAGTTTGGGGTTGGCGGTTTGAGGCCTTTGAAGCTGTAACGAGGATGTAGTATGCCCGTGGCATCTGGGTCCAGCTTGCTTGGAAGAGGATGTAGGATAATGTAGGGGCCTTAATAAGTAGAATAGGGTTCTGGGGCCCATTATGCTGTAATTACAACAAGGACCCCCCAAATAGTATAGGTAATTGTCAAGGCCCCTATATTGCTCTCAGACATTCTTCAACTAAGGTCTCCGACTCAACGAAAGCAGTCAGAACCCCCGACCCAAAATGCAAACTAAACCCTAAACCCTAAACCCTAAACCCTAAACCCTAAACCCTAAACCCGAACCTGGTCGGATCCAAGAGTCTGTCCTGGACACCTACTGTCGTCATCCCTGCGGAGGAGTTCGGGAAAGGCGTGTCTTGCCACCTCTCGCTGACCTGATGGGGCCTCTAGTTTGGGATTTAGGGTTTAGCATGTAGGGTTTATTAGGATTTAGGGTTTAGGATTCAGGGTTTGGGATTTAGGGTTGAGGATTCAGGATTTATTTGGGGTTTCGGGTTTAGGGTTTAGGGCCTCTGCTTCCCGAACTGGCACAATACCTTTAGTCTCCATTGGTCTCCATTGTAGGCCATTCATTGATTGGGTTTATTAAGTTAAGCATCTTTTCAGGTAACCAAAAACAGAACTACAATGGAGACTTTAGGTCTATAGGTACCTGCAGCATACACTGAACCCCCGGGCAGAATCTGGGTAGTTCTCTAAATTAGAGTCCCTTTTTGGATCCCCAATATAGTACGGCACCTCGTAAAAAGGACCCCAAAAGGGACCCTGATTTAGAAAACTACCCATCTGCAGTTCCTGCCTTGGCATCCAAGTATTCGACGAATTCTTTGGCCGTGCGGACATGCGCATTTGCCAGGGCTCTTTCCTCTAGCAGCGGGCCATTCTTGTTGTTGTCCTCCACCAGCTCAGAATACACCTTGGCTGGGGGTCGAGCCATTTTCGGGCTGCGGTTCTGCATAGGGGTTTAATACGGCAGGAAAGTTTATCAGAATGGAACAGAGGCTCAACAAACCAGTCGGCAAAAGAGTTTTTTTTCCTCTTCCAAGCCAAAGTGCGAGGGCGTGGCAGTCATAATATTCCTGGGGCTGGAGTATGTCCCAGGAAACCAGGTTCCAGCGAAGGGTGTTAGGATGTTTCAGGTTTCACAAGTTTGACCTCAAAAACATCGGCCCAATCAAGCTACTGCAGGGACCTTGATAATTGGGATAGGGTTTTGGTGCATGTTACGCTATAGTTACTCATCTAGTATAGAAAACTACTCAGGGGTTCTGTCTTAACAAAATGGCAGAGTCGCCTTTGATGTCTTGCTGTATGTGATCTCGTAGGGTTCCGTCAAGTAGTAGTTGCTCCAATCACCATCGCCCAGGACCTGGCTGCGAAAGGGGGGGCTCTCTAAACTCTAAACTTAGTTCTCCTTCCGTGGTCACTGTCGGATTGCTGGTTTCGGATTTTGGGCATGAGGGCTGTGGGGCTTCAGGGACTTGGGGGTTTGGGGGTTCAGGGCTTATAGGTCTTGTCATTTGGAGCTTGGCTGGATTGGTGTTAAGATTGGTGGTCTCCGTCATGAAGTTGGACAACCTGCATGAACGTCCTCCGGCTGGACTTACTTGGACGTTACCTCGACGTCCTCACAGTTCAGGGAGGTTCCCCTTTTCTAGTGCTCCCGGTTTAATGATGACTTCCATGACTTCTGTGGTTTGTCCTGTAAAAGCAAAGCCCAACAAACCCTGAACCATAGAGCAGGAATAACATCATTCATGTCCTAGGACGAGCCGAAAGGCCTGAAATCCATAAACGCCGTATAGGGGCCTTGATGATTAGAATGGTGGAAAACACGAGTTATACCCACCCGCACACAAGTGGCCTCGGCTCTGGCACCGTAGCACTCTCAACCCGGAACCCCCGGAAGCTTTGAATCCCAAAACCACCTTGTAGACAACAGAACCCTAAACACGAAACCTCAAGACCCGAAGCCCTGAACAAGAACTCTATCACGCCGCGAAATCCCGAGACGTTGGAAACCTCAAACACATCCTGAAACCCGAAGGCCCTGACTACTCAATGCCCCAAACCCTTGAACCTGAACCAGAAAATGCTGAGTCGGACATCATACATTACCCGCCAGCAAGGACGCACCTCAAACGGAATCATACTTGGAGATTCATGGGACTTATAAGTACGGTTATAAGTACCTTAATTGGGGTTATAAGTCATAAGTATAGTTACCTTATATATAACCCTAGTTACTAAGTCCTATGAACCTTTAAGTAAGCAAACCTATCCACGATAACCCTGAAATCTAATTCCGGCCCACCTTCGCCGTCTTAGGATCGGCCTCCCGCACTTTTCTATTGTGGCCCCCAAGACAGAGGGATGCATCGTGCCTGAGCTTCAGGGATTGGGATTGACAAGGTTTCAGGGTTCCTTTTTAGGCTTTTAGGGCTCCTTGAAGGGATCTATAAGGGTTTCTATAGGGTTTTGACAAGGGTTTCTATGAGGGTCTAATTTTGGTAGTTCTCTAAGTTAGGGCCCCTTGTTACATCCCAAATGTAGTACGGCACTCTTATAAAAAAAGGACCTTAAACGCGACATTAATTCAGAGAACTACCCTTATGGGCTTTAGTGGCTCCTTGAAAGGGCTTTGCAGAGAAAAGTCGGCGACCTGGTACTCGTTGTATTGAGCTGAAAAATGGATACACCTAATATAGGGGCCTTAATAATTAGAATAGGGTTTGGTGGCGCATTTTCTGTACTTATGATAATGAAACTCCCAAAAATAGAGTTAGTAATTATTGAGGCCCCTGTGTTATCCTAGTGCGCTTATGTACACTACTGTAAGGACTGAACAAAGTGGCAGAGACAGCCGTTCAGATACACTGCGAAGTGAAGCTGCCCTGCAGCTCCACCCCGATTATCACGCACATTACCTGCTGTCGAAGAATCGTCTCAGAATTGTAAATGGAAATTTGCGGCAAACATGTCGGTAGCTAGCTATGATGGAGTCTTCGGCTTAAGACGCTTGTCCTGCTTGTCTCAAGTAGAACCCATTCGTCTTCAACAGGGTCCTGAAGGCATTTTGCTAAGTTTCGGCCTGAATTCGGGTGCCTACAAATCCTACGACCCAACCCATGAACAGTTCGGCAGAGGTGCCGTGCGAAGGACGGAAAGCTCATGCCAGGTTCAAAGTGGCGGAGACTGAAGTTCAGCTCAGTAGAAACGCCCGGTGTGTGCTGCCACTGCAAGCTCTCTTTGGCCGTGATGCCATGCACCAGCCAAGCCATCAGGTAGCCGTTCAGCGGCAACACCTTTCTCGGGCGGCGTCGAAGGTGTCGGGCATAACTATGGCCGTGTCTCCACTTTATCAATCACTCGAAGTGGCATAAGGACCTGATGAATCATGTCAGGGGGCGTGGTACAGCACAACTTTATCCTCGTTTTGCTCCTCGACGTTTTTAACAGCTGCCCGCAACTGGTCGTTGCCGCTCTGCGTAAACAGTTTCTCCCTCTGGGCATCTTTGACGTACTCCTGGGTTCTGGAGCAACCGTGCTGCATAAACTACTTTATACAAACTTTGTAGAAACAGAGTACGACGCAAAGAAAAAGGAGCAGTGCTTCACAACCCGGATGCATCAAAGCGCTCCGCCGAAACTACGCCGAAAGTCAAGGTCAGGAATAAGAACAGAAACCAGAGAGCCATGGCGTGGGCTATCACTTTGCATCCTAGAGTCTACACCGCGATCATGAGTCGGTGCTTGGATTCTCCAAACCCTGATAGCCTAAAGTCCTAAAGTCCTACAGGGCCCGGTACCCCAAAACCCTACCCCAAACCCCTGAGGCCCCGAAGCCCTAATCCCTAAAGTCCTCAAGCCACCTAATCCTAAACCCTAAACCCTAAACCCTAAACCCTAAACCCTAAACCCTAAACCCTAAACGCCCTATAGCCCTAAATAACCCCTAATCCCTAAAGTCCTCAAGCCGCCTCAACCCGAAATGAGCCCAGGGCCTGCCCAGCCTAGGGTTTCGGGTTTGGGATGGTTTGGGGTTTAGGGTTTAGGGTTTAAGGGTTTAGGGTTTAGGGTTTAGGGCTTAGGGTTTGGGGTTTAGGGTTTAGGGTTTAGGGTGCGTGTGGTTTTAGGGGTTAGGGCTTGAGGGTTTCAGGGTTGAGGGGTGTAGAATTTAGGGTTTTTTGGGAACCCCGTTTTCCACCTCATACCCCAGGCATTCGGTGGAATCCACCTCGTGGAGTTTAGGGTTTAGGATTCACGCTAGGGGCTGTAGACTGTTGGATTTCTTGTCGTTTGGAGTTCGCAGTTTGGGAGTGCAGGCTCTTGCCCTGGACTGAAGTCACCCTATGTCGCATGCCTCACTGCCAAAGCCCTGGAACCAAGACCCTTCAAACTTCCTCCATCCCGGAAGAAAAAACGAAAGCCCGTGCTTAAACATAACGCGTCCACCATAACCCCTCAGCCCGTATCACAGTTCCCCAATCAGCCTCCTGAACCCTTACAAGCTCTTCAAATCCCGAGGCCCTGAACCCCTGACCCTAAATGACAAAACGCCAAAGACCTCCCTGAAAGCTCTCGACCCACAAGCTTTTAAATTCCAAACACCTACAAGAAGTCCTTCTTCTATTCGTCGGGTATGAGGGACTTTCAGTGCGCTGATAGTTTGCAGCGCCAAGCTTTAAGTCTCCAGGACCTTACTCCTTTATCCATCAGAGCTACGTAAGCATTGAGGGTTCGGATGGAGGGGATCAAGTTTTGGGTTTCGTTCTTGGGATCCCTGACGGTTCGGACACGTGAGACGCAAGCTAAGTAGCAAGGCTCGGAAGATGGGAACGTTCCAGAAGAGCTGCGGCTCACTAATGTAGGGGCCTTCATAAATAGAATAGGGTTTTGGGGGCCAGGACCCCAAGAAACCTCTTGTAGATCTGTGGCGAATTCATCGGAACCAATGTGGGCTGGAACTTCGCGCATATCTATCCGGGCTTGATCAAAGCATCCCTACTTTCTCTCAGGCCTGCAGTGGATGCTCGGGAAGCTCGACATCTGTCATAGCTGCAGTTGTTGCCCTCAGGTGGTGGCGCCTGTACTGAAAACAGGGCAGGAGCACCCCAAGACATAGCACCAGCACAACGATTGTCAGGATCCGAGATGGCCACGGTGAGCTCTCGTCTTTCTTTTTCTTTGGGTGTTGCAGTACACAATTCCGGATGTCCTCTAGAACACTCGCCGCGAACTCCATAAAATCCGGGTCGGCAAAGGCCGTGGAAGTGGCAATGATCTTCACGGACTCGCTCATATCGAAGGGTGCAAGACCCCAGCCCCGCTTCACGAGCACCCGTGCCGTGACCTCGTCACCTTGCGCCGTATTCTTCAACAATTTGTAGGCATCCATGAAGCTGACATCTCTCCAATCCTTATGCTGGTGGCCGGCTCGAGGGGCCGTCCGCTCTGATTTCCACTCAGTACTGACATAGGCCAAGTCATTGGCCGAGTCCGGCGGCAGCACCACTTGCAAGAGAACCCTGGCGAAGCCTTAGGGAATGCGCGCGTCGACTGCTCACTTCTTGAACCATACATACTGGCTGGACACGAAACCTTCGTACCTGGTAGCACTTCATGCCGAACCGTCATCTGACTATCGAGAATTCGGTTCCATTGGATAGGCCGTTGTATCAAACCCTTTAAGGCAAAAAGCACGCAATACCAAACTACATACCTGTAACCCACTGTCAGTACTCTTGCATTGCACAAGACGGTAACGTCTCTTATTGTCCTTCCACCCCCACCAGCCCAGTTGGAAGGTCTGGGGACATAGTAAGTAGGTAGTAAGTAGACATAAAAGTACCGTAAAAGGGGTCCTATCCGGGTTATGATACTTGTAAGTCTATCAGACAACTAGCCACGAAGTCCCCGACCCTCAAAGCAGTCGCGAGGGGCGTTCCCCCCGACCCGGAATCCGAAAATCCATCCCCGAAGCTCTCAGCATGAGCCCCTTCTGTAAACTGCGTCGGTCTAGTCTGCATAAGTCAACTTCGAACCAAAAAGCACCTTAAAGCCTAAACCCTCAACCAAAAACCAACCAAGCACCTCAATGGCTGAAGACTTGAAAGCCCAAAGCTTCGAGAGCTCCTCACTTGAAGGATCAAGAGACCGAGTGGGCGGGCGATCAGCTGGAACCCTAAACCCTAGACTAAACCTAAACCTCACACCCTAAACTCTAAGCCCTAAGCCCGTGGACTTAGACTAAACCGCCTTGTGACTTGTCAAACCAATATATAGTCTTGTTTAAATTAGAGTAGGGTTTGGGGGTCTATTATACTATGACTACAATAAGGAACCGCCCAAAATAGTATTGGTACTGTAATTATTTAGGCCCCTATAACTTTAACCCTGACTATAATCATTATAAGGAACACCGAAAAACCCTGCTGTATTTACTAAGGCCCCGACATGCTAGAACCCTTATAGTAATCTTTGAAGGAACCCCAAAAACCCTCTTCTAACTACGAAGGTCCCTTCCTTAACCCTAAACCTAAACCCTAAACCCTAAACCCTAAACCCTAAACCCTAACCCTAAACCCTAAACCCTCAACCCTAGACCCTCAACCCTAAACCCTAAACCCGAAACCCTAAACTTATTTAACAGGTGGGACTTCGCCTTGGCCCCGGGACCTCCAAGCGGTCAGAGTTTCGCACAGGGCCCTCCTTAACTTCCTCTGGACGCATTCCTCCCCCCGGCTTTAGGGGTTTAGGGTTTGGGGTCTAGGGGTTTAGGGGTTTAGGGTTTAGGGTTTAGGGGTTTAGGGCTTAGGGCTCCCCCCCCTTCCGTCGGTTAGCGGGCTCTTTCAAGTGACGGCTTCGGGGCTGAAGAAACACAGCCGAGCAATTCGCCGGCCCTCTTCACCTGTGGCCCGGCCGAGGCGGACGGCACGAAGCGTTAACACGTACTGGCTGCTCTAGCTGAAACATCTTGATTCAATGATGTGGGGGCCTGACTGTTAGAATATGGGTTCTGGTGATACGGTTGATGGACAAAATTCTGCATGACCTTATATACCTAAACTATGCATGGGTTTTATGGTACTATACTATATTTGGGTCATTCAGAATTTTGTCCATCAACAGTATGACACACAAAAAACCAAGGATTCTGGGGGCGAGCATGACTCATTCATCCGACGCCTAGTAGCCTCTCGTCTGCTCTGGGGTCGGTAGGCCACCATTTTGGAGGCGGATGGCCGCATCCTGTTGCAGGGGTTTAGGATTTAGGGTTTAGGGTTTAGGGTGCAGGGTTTTGGGGTTTAGGATTTAAGGTTTAGGATTTGCCGCGGGATTTCCAGGTTCAGGCTTTGGGGTTCGGGTTTAGGATTTAGAAGGGTTTGGGGATATAGCATGGTAGCGGCCTATAAGTTTGCTGAGGGGCTTGCCTCGCTGTTGTCAGATGATCTTGTCGCTTTTCTTGGCCATAAGAAACTTCAAAATAGCACTTCGAGAGGTTGGAGAGACGGCTCTTTCTCCACATTTGTGCAAGGCTCTGCAAAGAGCATGCGCGAGGTTACAAGTCCAGCTATATCATACCACAAGAGTTCGGTCAAGCCCTGCCGAACCAACACTCACCGTCCCAGACAGACTTCCACTGCGCTGGTCAGCAGGCTCCGAAATCAAGTTCTGAACCCCGGCCCCCGGCTCCTTCCTACGACATCGGTCCCTTTTTGGACAGCTGATGTTCTCATCCCGCCTTGGTCCACTTACTTGCCACATGATCCAGGTTCATCTTCTGCAAGTCCTGAAGCTGCGCCAGGCTCAAGGCTTACTGTAGGGGCCTTAATAATTTTGGGGATTTTCCTTGCTATAATTCTAGTATAATATACCTCCAAAACCCTATTCTAATTATTAAGGCCCCTAAACCCTTATACTAACCCTTATATAGCTCCCTTTTAAAGGAACCCTATTCTAATTATTAAGGCCCCTATCTTAGGGTGCCTTCGACCTCAAGCTTCTTGGGGCCTGGAGGGCAGCAGAAATCAGGGCGTCGGGCTTGCTTGGCACATGCTGGTCACATCGAGGTTCATAGAAAATCCGGCTCTCCGAAGTGTAGGCGAATTCGCTTAGGGTTTAGGGATTTAGGGTTTGAGGGTTTTGGGGTTTTAGGGTTTTAGGGGTTTGGGGTTTAGGGGCTTTTGCCGAACTGAGCCTCCAAACCTATGCCTGCACCGGGACATCGGCCTGCTTGCTGGCATTATGTGGCTCTGGACGCATGGCTAACATCGTCTTAATGCGACTCAGTAACAACAACAGCTACAGTGCCGGCATAATGGATGAGAAAGTGCGGCTTCTGGGTTTTCCGAAAATCGGGAGGCTTGCAGCCATGCCGGTTCCCAAGCTTTCAAGCCGGTTCGGCTTAGGCTCCGGTGGGAAGGGTGCGCGATCTCCTTCCCAGCATTTGCTCATGAGTTCAGTCCTGGCGAGGGGTGCTGCAAGATTCGAGCGCATGCGCTCAGGGCTTCCTGGTGGTGATTAAGAGCTCCGAAAAAAGAGAACTAACCTCTCGGCAACGGAAGTTCCCTTCTCACCTTTTGTTAGCTGCGGCGTGTATGCCGGTGTCACGCCTCTAGACGGCAAAGCAGCGGAAGACGAACTTCTTAGAAACCGTGTTATGTAGGTCCTCTCATGAAAGTCTTGCGATATGATCGGAAAGCGCATCAGTGCTGCGCATCTGAGCAAGGACAGCAGATTGGAAACCTTCTGGAGTGTCCTGCGGTCTCTGTTCAGAGTAGGTCGAGGAAGAATGCTTGGAGCGGTTGTATAGGAACAGAAAAAAAAAGCACCCCCAGGGCTGGCCCAGTGACACCGGTGAAAGTTTGAAGGAGCCAAGCACTTGATCAAGCAAAGCCGGTCTGCCCCCAAACTCTGGCCCGCGAATATATTCCAGCTCGTCGTGTTTCATCAAGTCATTCGCTGGCGTTTTCCATAGTGTGAAGTGCTCCCACATGCTTGGTGTCCCGAGTTGCTTCGCGCCGATGAATGCACTGCCGAGCAAGTTGATCTGTGCATCGAGAAGTCCTCGGTTCGCCAAAGCCGAACCCCAAACCCTGGACCCTCGGTCGCGCCCAAAAGCGTTCAGGGGTGTTGGCCTCCCGTCTGTGCTTTAGGGCTTACGGTTTGAGTCGCTGAAGCTCTTGAACCTGTCATGAATCTGACAACACGTGAAACTACGTCAGATCGCTTGGCGCAGCTCCATGAGTCCGCAAGCAAGCATGACCGAAGTTTCTTTGAACAAGTTTGTAACTGTAACGGTAACGAGAGCAGTGATGAATGAGATGCGTAACTAATTTAATTGCGCGCCTCTGAACAAGAAAACTAAACTGATCGGAACCAAGAGTCTATCCGGAACACCTACTGTCGACATCCCGTTCCAATAAGAGGGCATGTCCTCCCACTTCTCACCGACCTTGGAACGCAGCAAACCGAAAAACGGTTCACGGCCCGCTAAGCCCGACACGCGAGATTTCTACCCATAGGCCCCATAGTAGTTCCTTTTTGGGATTCCCTAATAGGATCCTGAATATAAGCCACAAAAAGGAACTACTATGGGGCCTGTGGGTACTGCTCAAAAGGATGCGTCCCGCATGGGACTCTAGCACGTAGGGCTTCACGAGGAGGGCTTTTTTAAAACCTTACTGTTGCAGGGGGAAACCTACTGTTGATGGACAAAATCCTGCATGACCTTATATACCTAAACTATGGGAGTTATGGTACTATACTATATTTGGGTCATGCAGAATTTTGTCCATCAACAGTAGAAACCTTACCACCGGCCTTAGCGTCCAAGTACTCAGCGAACTGCTTCCCTGTGTTGACATGCGCATCTGCCAGGGCTGTTTCCTCCAGTAGGGGACCGTTCTTGTTGTTGTCCTCGACCAACTCAGAATAAGCCTTGCGGGCTTGGGTAAGGGGGTTTCGGGCGGCTTGTGGAGCATGTCCGCATCTAGGCGACCACAACTGTTTTTTTCGCGTGTGGTTCGGAGGTTCGCAGCGAAAGTTTGATTTAACGGCGACCGGCACGAAGGTATTCCAAACCTACGGATCATC